GATCTCTGGTTAATAATTCTTGATCTAGTCTGGTCTTTTCCATTTAAATTCCCTGACTTACCTGTTAACCTTCTCTGTAATTTGTAAAGATATTCTCCAACCTGAGATTACAATAAATGATTCTCTTTTCAGATATCCATTAATTTTTTTTTGGATCAGCTTTTACAGTTAGTAGGTCAAGACTATCGTGTCTTTCTTGTAGAGCTATAAATGCAAAGACCCATGATGATATTGATGATTAGAATAGTATTTAGCAAATCACTGATATCATGTGACTTTATGTGAAAACCATGCCTTACTGGTGTAGTCTAAGGCCATGTATATATTGTTGTTTTCTTCAGTTGTTCAGTCATGTCTGACTCTGTGTGACCCCATGGACAAAGTCTGTTGGGTTTTCTTGGCAAAGATACTTGAGTGGTTTGCCATTTCCTTCTCTATTGTGTACCCATTTTTCTTTTTCTTTTTTTAAAAAAATTTTCCCCCATTTTTCATATGAGTAAACTGAGGCAAGCAGGGTTAAGTGACTTGCCCAGGGCCTCACAGCTAATAAGTGTCTGAGGGCAGGAACTCAGGAACTCAGGAACTCAGGAATGAGTCTTCCTGTCTCCAGACCCAGTGCTCTGTGCTCTATGGTGCCACCTAGCTGCAAGTATGTATAGTGTACTATAAAATCTCCCCCTGCTTGGTCAGGCTTCCTACAATCTCTATGGAGTGTGTTTCTTCATCCCCCTGACCCATAAATCCATGAAAATGTCTGAACACAGTTCTGTTAGTCTTTAACATGCAAGCACATTGTGCAAAAAAGCTGGCTTAAGCCTAGTAGCATTTATTAGCACTCTTTTCTCCAGAACTTTTGCCCGTCCTACTCCTTGAAAGAGAACATGGCAGAGCTCCCAAATGTAGCTCACCAGACCACCTATGCACAGGGTATGAGCAAGCAAAGGGTTAACTCACTGTAGTGGTAGCTCAGGCCAAGCTTCCCTCTGGGGGTAACATCTGAAAGGCTGTAACAAACACAAAAGGCTAGAGAAACAGAGGGGTCCCACTGTCCTGCCATTCTTCAGGTCATTTAAGGATAACTTGCAGCTGTGGCCTTACAAGGTCATAAGAAACCTGTAGCAAGTGCTAAGAAAAGAGGAGGGTGGAGAGATCCAAATATTTCGCAGAGAGATGAAAAAAAAAACACCAACAAATTCCAAACCCAATAACCTATTCCTCAAACAGAGCAGCAAGCGCAATGGGAAAAAACATCAGTAGAAAGGCCTGGCCAATCCTTCTCTTGGCCTTAAACTCACTATTTAAGGATCCCTAAGGATGCCAGCAGCTAAACAAACATCATAACCACCCGACAAAGTTTCCCCCGATTCAAGTGTGGTGGCTCCTGGCCAGCTTTTGACATCAGTCAGGGCTAAATGCTTCTAAATACAGGACAGGGAGGGGGATGGTTGGGGAGGCTTCTGTGGTTGCTTTCTTTGGTCACTTCATTACATAGCAGCCGAACTGGGAACCCTGACAGGAGATAAGACAAAATGACTAAGGAGGATGCTGAGGATGTTTGCTACTTACTCTGGGATGGAAAATCTAGTTGGAAGAAAAGATGAGAAATGACAAAAATAGGTCCACTTCCTTGGGCCTCTTCTTCATTTCTCATCTCTCTAATGTACCAGTGTTATACTGTGAGTTATGGTTAATCTGTATTCGTGTCTCATCTCTGTTCTGAACTATTGACACTGTGGTGTCCTATTTAGGCTTTATGTCTCCTCCAGAGTGTGCTCTGCACACTATAAACAATAAATGTTTGTTTGAATTGAATCAAACTGATGTCAACACATGTGGGAATTTTCCCAGGGCAGACTGGACCTGCCCCTTTCATTTCCCCAAAGCCATCTTTCTAAATATAAAACCTCAGTGACTGGGTGTCCCACAGTGGTCTGTCCTGGACCATCTTCTCTGTCTTCGCCTTCTTTGGGTGATATCAGCTCCTCCAGGTTCAATGATTATCTCTATGCAAATGACTCTCAAATCTAAAAATATAAATTTACTTCTCTATCCCAAGTTCCAATAACCAGCTGCTTGCTGAATAGCTCCTCTTGGATGCCTCACTGGTACCTCAAACTCAACATGTCCAAGAAGACAATTCATTGTGTCCCATTCTGTTTCCCCTTTAAATTAACTCCTCTTCAGACTTCCACATTTCTGTTAAGTGTACATTGTTCTTCCAGTCATCCAGGTTTATAACCTCAGAACATCCTTAACTCTTCCTTCTCCTTCAGCATACTCCCGCTCCCATCCAATCAGTTGCCAAGTTTTGTTGGTTTAATTTATGCAACATATCTCACATCTGCAAAGAGAAGAGAAGAGGGTCCTTGATGTAGTATGGTATAGTAGATAGAGAGCCAGCTTCAGTGTCAGGAGAATGTGTGTTCAATTCCTGCCACTGATAAATTGCTAAGTGACCTGAGCAAGTAATTTAGTTCCTCAGTGTCCTCAGATTTCAGGATGCCAACCTGCTTTGCTGGAGACTATCTTTACCCTACATCACTGAAATTTCAGGATGGGTCTAAAAGAAGTTTCCAGGGCTTTTCAGTCAGTGGTTATTAATGCTTGCAGAATTGTAATACTAAACTTGTATTCAGTACAAGTAGCTAGTCACAGTTATTTTTTTTATTAGTTTGATATTGTGATTTAGTTGTATCTACATCTTTCATATATTTACCAAGATAAGGGCTGTCTAGGAGCATAGAGTTCCTCAAAGATATAAATAATGTCTACTCAACTCATTTTCTGCTGTAATATACAGGGTTAGATACTTAGAAAATGTCATCTTCAGCTGGTGGTGACAGCTTTATTTGGGTGTGAATTCTATTTATTTCCACAGAATGTTTGTGGCTTATGAAGACACATAGTATGTGCACCTGTTGTGTGAGAAGAAGAAATTCTGCTGCCCTTCAGTCTGCAATTCCAAAGGGCTAGAAAAGGATGGGAGTCAGGAAGTGATAGAAAGAGCCAAATTGGGAGAGAGAAAACAGACATGAGGGGAGTGGCAGGAATTCCAGAATGGCAAGAAAAAAGAACGGACTTTTATTGTTACTCTTTTCTTTTGAAAGAATTTGGAAAGGTCTCATAACTTTACAGGAGAATGTTATGTGATATGTTTATTTTCTTCATCCTTTCAAAGGTACAGAGTCCAGGGAAAACTTTCTGAAATTCAAAGAAATAAACATCAATTTCCCAAGAAGCAAGTCTCTGTCTCTGTCTCTGTCTCTTTCTCTCTCCTTCCTTCCTTCCTTCCTTCCTTCCTTCCTTCCTTCCTTCCTTCCTTCCTTCCTTCCTTCCTTCCTTCCTTCCTTCCTTCCTCCTTTCCTCCCTCCCACCTTCCTTCCTTCCTTAACAACAACTTAACAAAACAGAATCAGTCAATAGGCAGGGATCTGGTAGGGATTCCAGCATGAAATCCAGATTGTGAGGATTATACGTCTAGGTTGCTTATACTTCTCAGTTACAGATCTGCTATGGTTAGCATATGCTCCTATGCCATTAACTTCTACTGCCCACTATATGGGATGAGGGAAATAAGATGATGAAGGAAATAAGAGGGGTTAGACTCAAGGGGAGGACCAGAGAATTTGTCTTGTCAAGGAGAAGGACTGTCTCATTCTCTCTTGGAGGGAAGGAAATGGGTGGTGACAGAGAAGTTATGATGTGGAAGATGGGAAATGAGGGAGCTCATGACAGATTCTTTGAGTTCTCAATAGAGCAAGAGGAAAAATTTATTGAAAGATGTGGGGATGATGGGAAGGGTTTTATGAGAGAGGAGAAGATTTGGAGCAGTCTCTATGGGGAGTCTGATAGGGATTCAGCTAAAGAGAAGTATTGCCCTGTAGCAGTGAGAGCCCAGCTGAGGTTATATAACATGAATTTGTAGACCTAGCCACCTTAATTCTAGGACTCTATCCAGTAGTACCTGGTGACTCTGAAGTAGTAGAAAAGAGGGTTTTATTGTTGATCTAGGAATTGGGATTAGCAAAGAGAATGGGGAAAGATGGTGAGGGGGGAAGTGTGAGGCGGGAGATAATTAAGTGGTGCAGTGAGTAGAATACAGGGCCCAGAGTAGGGAAGACTCAAATATAAATCTTGCCAAAAACACTAGCTGGGTCACCCCGGATAAGTCATTTAACACCTATCTACTTCAGACTCTCAGCTTCCTGGACTTAATGGCCTCTCAAACTCCTTCAAATTCTAAAGGTATGATCCTGTAAATGAATGCATAATTGAAATAGCAAACCAGAGAATTAAGATAGTGAAGGGAGAGCAGTACATTGGTGATGATCGGGAGAACAGGGAGGGATTAAGGGACTGAAGACTATAATGAGGTTAAAGAGATGTGAGGCAGTGAGAAAAGTGGGAAGACAGGAAATAGTGATTAGAAAAAGGACACTTTAGAGTTCAAGATCTTGGAGATGGAGCTGTTATAGGTAATGGTGAGGTCTAAACAGTGATGACCCCTAGGTATCTCTATTTATTTTTTCTCATCTCCTTTCCTCTTGAGGGCAGAAACTGAGTCCTATTTTGTTTTATGTCTACCACAGTGCTTGGTGGTGTTGCTGTTTAGTCATTTCAGTGGTGTCTGACTCTCCATGGCCCCATTTGGGGTTTTCTTGGCAAAGATACTGGCGTGGTTGGCCATTTCCTTCTCCAGCTCATTTTACAGATGAGGAAACTGAGGCACACAGGGTTATGTGACTTGCCTAGGGTCACACAGCTAATAAGTATCTGAGGCCAGGTTTGAACTCAGGAAGATGAGTCTTCCTGTTTCCAGACCCAGCACTCTATCCACTGTGCCACCTAGCTGCCCTTGGTGCACGGTTAAGAGTTCAGTAAATTTTTCTGATTGATTTGACCATTTCCTCACTGACAAGGGATTTCAAGACAAGACCTTCATGCCCATAGAAGTACTGAATGACATATGATGAAGCTGACTGGTTTCTGTCTTTGTCTAGACCAAAGATGCCCTCTTCACTATCCTGCATGATCTCAGGCCACAGGATCATTTTAACATCGTTGGGTTTTCCAATCGGATAAAAGTATGGCAGGATCGCCTGGTATCAGTGACTCCCAATAACATCAGGGACAGCAAAGTATACATTCACCACATGACACCTACTGGAGGTAAAAATCTTCCTTTTTCTCGCTTTAGCTTTGTCACCATGATAAATAAGAAGGTGGTTTTCCCAACAGGCAGATATTTGAAATCTGAAGCTGACTTCAGGTGGGGAGATAACAAATTAAGAGCTTGCATTTTAAGAGATAACAGTTTTAAAACTTGTATTACTTACGATCATCAAACCAAAACCCTACCCTCTACCTTATCTCAGCCTCTGATTTGAGATGGTCCATTAAGTTATAAGGAAAAATTCTTTTAGGTCTATGAGGTGTTCCCTGCTTCTCATTGATTCCTTACAATGAACCTATGTCCTAAAAGTGGCAGTGGAGGGAAAGTTGGTGCCATAGGATGCCTTATTATTCTGTGTGCTCAAAAATTATTGTTCTAGGAAGAGGTGATGGGAATTGTCCAGCCAAGTAATTACCCAAAGGTAGAACTGTAACTGAATGAACAGAGCTCGCTTATCTGAGAAATATAAGCTAGGTGCCAAGGGGGAAAAATACTGTTTGATGTGGAAGAGGCATAGCTAAGAGGTCATGGTGAGGACAAAGTTGGTTGAATGGCCTGGAATTTTTCTTTTGCTATATAATACACAGGTAATTGTGCAGAAACTGGGAACTTCTTCCATGATTCAGTCAAAAGATGGGCAGAAGAATTCTAAAGAGAGATTGTCTAATCCAAATTATGTAAATTAATTTACCGCATAGCTTGAGGGATGGGGTGGGCTTCTAGCCATGAAGAAACAGCATAAGCAAAGGCAGAGAAATGCAGGAAAACACAGGACATGGAGTGAGTATGGTGAATAGTCTAATAACTAGTTTGACTGGAACATAAAGAAAACTATTGTAAAATAAAGATGGAAAGGAAAAGTATCAGATTGTGGAAGACAATCCTCAGTCTCCTTTGCTGGATCCTTATCCAGGTCACAGCCTGTAATTGTGGGTGTCCCACAGGGCTCTGTCCTGGGTCCTCTTTTTTTCTCCCTATGTACTACTTCACTTAGTGATCATGGATTTAATGATAATCTCTTAGGCTAGTGATTCTCAAATCTGCCTATCCTGCCCTTACCTCTCTGCTGAACTCCAGTCTTCATAGCTTCAACTGCCTTTCAGACATCTTAAATTGGAGGGGACTTAAAGAGAGAGAAAAAGCTCTGAAATGGCCATTTTGGGGAATGAGACAAAAAAAACAGTAACAGCTGCATAAGATTACCAGACTTCAGTGAAGTGACTTCATGTGGTGTTCAGTTGAATACCATAAATTTAGAGTAGATAAAATTCACAGGAATTTCTCCAAGAACTTTCTTCTGGGAGCAAGAGTGGAAAAAACATAGTGTAGGGGTTGCCCAAGGCTGAGTATTAGTAGGTCAGGAATAGAGGAAGTTCAGAAGAGTGAGGGATTCTAAGTTGGTAGCTAGTGACTGGCCATGGAGTTGAATCTCGATATGAAAACAAGGGAGATGGCAAGAGGCAGAATTAGAAAATTGGGACAGTGCTAGGAATCAGAGATTACAATGAGCAAACTCAGTGTGGAATGACGGAGTAGAAGAGGTGAAATGATAGGAGAACATGTGTGGAAAGTAGAATTTTTACTACTTCCAACATCTTGGAAGTAGAGCATTTCTGTGATAATGAGGTTGAAGATGTAACCATGCTGATAGGTTGCTAAAGCAAGGTAGAGAATAGGGTCCCTTGGATTGATATTAAGGTCTACTACGAGAAGGATCATTAGATCAGGATGCTGGAAGAGTTGTCAGTAGGAATTTTGAAATCCCCAGGGGTGACATTTTGAAATACATTAAATTCAGTTAGTCTTCTCTGAGGTTTTCATATCTTTACATCTTTGTACTCTCGTGGATATACAGAGGACATAGACAGAAGTCACAGAGGATGAGAAGGCATGAACAGATCACTACTCGCATGGTCAGAGGAGGCTGCCACATAAAAGAACCATTGAGGTGCAGCTAGGTGGCTCAATGGATAGAGCACTGGCCCTGGAGTCAGGAGGACCTGAGTTCAAATCTGGCTTTAGATACATAACACTCACTAGCTATGTGACTCTGGGCAAGTCACTTAACCCCAATTGCCTCACCAAAAATAAAATAAAATAAATAAAAGAACCATTGAGAAAAATCCCCTTTATTTCCAATTATGGACAGATAGATTAATTGCTGAGAAGAACTTCAGGTTTTGCTTGAGTTTGGGGTCATTCACATTCCAGGGCATATTCCAGGGTAACCTAAAAATGAGCTCTTTCTTTTCTTGTGTGATGAGGAAATTGGATTTACTGTTCCTGTGGTATTCCATAGAGAGATATCTTCATTATCTTCCCTATGGATAGGCTGAGAAATGGATGCCTCAGAAAAGACTTGAGAAATTTGGTTGCAAGTAGGGATTCTTTCATTCATTGCATTTGTTTCTCCAGCATCTAGTATGGTACCTGGAACACAGGAGACACTTAATGAATGCATGTTGACTGATTGATTGGCACATCCAGATTTTGCTAAATAGATTCTGTCCTTCAGTTTTTTACTTTTCTTCATCTCTCCCTCTTTCACAAAAAAAATAATGTAGGTCATTAATACTGACCTTTACAAGATAACCAGTTTTTGAAAAATGGAAAGTTGCGAGGCTAAATTGTGATGTTAGTCAGTGGCTTGACTTCAGTGCCTCTGATTTCTCTGTTTTGTTCTCTTTATGTCCCACCCTTAGATAATTCTTCCCTTCTATCTCTAGCAGCTAGTTTCTATCAAAATCAGCATTCAGAAAAGAATATAAAATTAATTTATACTAGATTGTAAAGGTAAAGGTAGAGATAGCCATCCAAAATGTTACCTCTGCCAGAGAAATCTGCATTGTTACAAGTATGAAAGCTAAAGGAATGAAACTTTTGGTAGAACTTCAGGTAGCTGTAAACAGGTTGGGTGGAGAGAGATTTGTTTTGGGGCATGAGGGTCTTCTTGATTCCTCTGAAACCTTAGTACTGAATTGTTCCCTCCACCAACCATCACAGGACACCAGTTTTGGCCATACCTTGTCAAATTTCAATCATTCACTTGTAGGTGATCCATTCCTTGGACTTCACATGGTATGATTTTCACTCTAGTCTGACCTTCTGCCAGGCAAGTCACAACTGAATTCTCTGCCCCATCAACTGCCTATTGCTCGAGGCAGTGCTTTTGGATCTTAAATTTACACACTTAAAAGTTAATGGGGGTCCCATAGAGTTTTTGTTTATGAGGGATATGTCTATTGATATTCATCATATTAGAAATTAAAATGGATAAAATTTTAAATGTTTTTATTAACTTAAAAAAACAATAATAATCCCATTCCATGTAAACATTTTATGAAAAATAGCTATATTTTCCAAAACAAAATTTAGTGAGAAGAGCAGTTTTTAATTTTTTTTTTTTTGCAAATAATGGCTATCTTAATAGAAGACAGCTGGATTCTTATTCAATGCTTCTGCATTCATCTGTTGCAATCTGTTGTTTTGGTTCAAGTATATGAAGAAAATCTGGCCTTACACAGATGTGTAATTGGGAAGAGGAAGAGTAGGCAAATAATATTTCAAATTATTATGAAAATTGTTTTTATCTCAAGGACTCATTGAAAGGGTATCAGGGAGCCCCAGGGGTCTGTGGACTATAGATTGAGAACCACGGGCGTAAGGAATGAAAATTATCATTAATATTATCCTAAGAAAGTGTAGTGTATATCACATAGTGTAGTCCAAGTCAAGCAAAACTGATTTGAAGATTAACCACTCTTTTAAATTACTTATCTATGTCACTTTTCTCTCTCCCCACCGTTAGTGGGGATAATTAAGAGGATAATTGAGAATTAACCAGGGATGTAATTAAGATCCTAAGATCATAGACCTAGACCCAGAAGGGACCTCAGAGGCCATCTGGTAGCTACCCTCTCATTTTACAGATGAGTAACTAAGGCTCGAATTAAATGACTCACTCAAGGGGACATAGGTTAAGAAGTATCAGAAGCAAGATTCAGACTTCTCTGATCATAGAGGACCTTTCCATAGTAAATAATCAATATCTCTATAGTAAATATATAACCTTATTAGAAAAGATAAGTCAAAGGCTTGGTTGATAACATTTTAATGCATGTATCCACAGGTACGGACGTTAATGGGGCTCTCCAGAAAGGCATCGAACTGCTTAATGGCCACATAGCTGACAATGATATTGACTTTAGGAGCGTGTCTCTAATTGTCTTCCTGACGGATGGGAAGGCCACAGTGGGAGAGACTCAGTCAAGTAAGATCCTCAGCAACACAAAAGAAGCTGCCCAAGGTCGAGTCTGCATCTTTACCATCGGCATTGGAAATGACGTTGACTTTAAACTGCTGGAGAAGCTGTCTCTGGAGAACTGCGGCATGACGAGGCGTGTGCAGGAGGAAGACAATGCTAAGGAGCAGCTGATCGGGTCAGTTTCCTCCTGCCTTCTGTATGAGGGGGACCCACAATGGGGAGGGCGTGGAGCAGGCACGGATAGAGGGAGTGAATCTGATGAGTACCTCTGACATCAGGATGCCGGGACTGGACTGCTAGACATTATAGTTTCATGAGAAAATTCTGACTTTTCAAAACTTTAACTTACCTTATCTTCTTTATTCCCTGATCCTCTGGCTGAACCACTTTGAGACAGGCAGGTCAGGAATTCTCTGTTTTCCATATAAAGATGGTAAAAACAAACAGCAACAAATGAAAAGATATAATGATATGACAATGATAAAAAAGACATAAATTTAAAAAAAAACAATAAAAAGAAATTATTTGCCCTTTCTGTCATAACACACCTAGTTTGTGGGAGACAGGAAACTGTGACCCTGGTCTCCTCTGCTTTTCTCTGAGAGGTCATTTTGTTAAAGGTGGCTTGGCATGGTGAATAGAGATCTAGTCTCTGCGTCTAGAAGATCTAGGTTCAAGTTCTGCCATTGATACAAACTGGTTATGTGATCTTGAGCAAGTCACCTAACTTGTAAATGTCCTAGGCTAGGGGTGGGAAACCTGTGGCCTAGAGGCCATATTTGGCCCTCTAGGTCCTCAAGTATGCCACTTTGAATCCAAACTTCATAGAACAAATCCCCTTAATAAAAGGATTTGTTCTATAAAATTTGGACTCAGTCAAAAGGCCACACCCAAGGACCTAGAAGGCCACATGTGGCCTCTAGGCCACAGGTTTCCCACCCAGGCCTAGACATTTAGATTCTAAGACTATTAGCTGCCCTGGGAAGGTCTCTATTATCCCTAAGCAATCTCTCCAAGTTATAGAGAAAGTGCTAATCTGCATTGGTGGAGGGAATTTCCTCATCTGGGAGTTCCCTTTCTCTCTCTGACACCCTTCTTCCCCATATATAAACGTATATATATGTATCAACAGACACACATATGTGTGTACACACCCATGTACATGTGTGTTTGCATGTACATGTTTTCATGTATACATACATGCATAAGTGTGTGTCTATCTAGATGGATAGGTAGTACAATGGGTAGGGCACTGGGCCTGGAGTCAGCAAGTCCCGAGTTCAAGTATAGCCTTAGACACTTACTAGTGATGTGATCTTAGGTAAGTCATTCAACCTGTATTTGTTCAGTTTCCTCATCTGTAAAATGGAAATAATAATACCACCGACCTCATAGGGCTGTTGTAAGGACCCGTGCCTGACATGTAGTAAGCACTACCTAATTTTACTGTTGTTATTATTATTATTTATACAAGCTGACTTCAAAGTCAAGAAAACCTGGGTTCAAATTCAGCTTTTGGCAGATGCTAGTTGTGTGACCCTGGACAAGTCCCTTAACCTCTCAGTGCCTCCAGGGAACTCTGTATGGCTCTTAAGTTGCTGAGTGAGAACAAATATGCTTTGATTGGGAATTCTCTATACCCATGAAATCAGAGCTCTGGACCAAAAAGTCCTATCTGAAGTTTTTATCAGTGCCTTGGAAGAAGATATAGGAAGCTGCCAAACCTTTTAGATTACTTCACCCGTGTTCAGTGGGGCAGGAAGTTGAAATGTGATTCTAGGCAGTCTCACATTTTAATGCCTTCAGCTTTTTGTCCAGGAAGCTTTCAATGTTTTAGAAGTATCTTCTTTGTCATTCTCAGTCTGTCAGTCGACAAGCATTTATTAGAAGCTCTGCGCTAACCATTGGGGATACAAAGAAAGGGAAAGCTATAGTTCCTGCCTTCATAGAGCTCCCGTTCTAATGGGGGAGATGAGATGTAAGTAAATAACTAAGTCCATAGAAGACCTATTCATCGTCATGAGAGGTTCTCCCATCTCGTGGCACGAGCAGCTATAGGGACCAGGCAAAGTCTCTGGGACAAGGTAGGATAGGAGCTAAGTCTTGAAGAAAGTCTGGGAAGCTGAATGTGAGGAGGGAGACTATTCCAGGCATTGGGGATATGGAATGCAAAGGCTAGGAGAGATATGGGAGGTGGAGTACCATGTGTGATGAGCAAGTAAGCTGATGTTGCTTGAGTAAAGTGTAAGAAGACAGGAAGTGGCCAAATTCCAAAGACATAAGAAAACTTTAGATTTGATATGGGAGGCGATTGTCTTGGTAATACGGATAGGCAGCAAGTAATTTGTTTCCTACTCTGCTGGTGGTTTGTAGAGAGTATTGAAAGTTTTTGTTTCTTTTAAATTTGGGTAGAAGGAAGAAAAAAATAAATGCTAGCTAATTGGAAAAATAAAAGAGGTGGGGAGGATAAGGATCACATTAACTAAGGCAGTGGCCGAGAAACTGACCTAGAATTTTAACTCTCAGCTCAGCATCCTATGCCTTCTACCACTGTCTCACGGCATGTTGTTATCATTGTTCAGTTGTTCAATCATGTCTGAATCTTTGTGACCCCATGGACCACACTGTCCATGGGGTTTTCTTGACATTGGTTTCCCATTTCCTTTTCTAGTGGATTAAGGCAAACAGAGATTAAGCCCAGAGTCACACAGCTAGTAAGTGTCTGAGGTCAGATTTGAATTCAGGTCTTCCTGACTCCAGGCCCAGCGCTCTATTTACTAAGTCATCTAGCTGCCTTCATGGCATGTACTTGTAAGCAAAGGGAAAACCTAGATATATTTATAACTGGTTAATTGATTGTGTCTTGAGTGTTCTGACAGCTCTGTCAATTTGGAGAAAGAGTCCTGGTGGCATGGTGCAGGTCTCTGTCCTTGGGTTTTTTCTGTTTGAAGCTTTTAGCAATGCCTTGGAAGAAGATATAGGAGGCATACTTATCAAATTTATAGATAAAAAATCTGTAGGAACTAGTTAATATATTGAAAGACAGACTTAGGATAAAAATATCTTGACAAACTAGGACAATGAGGTTAAATCAGGAAGACGAAACTTAAAAGGAATGCATGTAAAGTCCTGAATTTTCTTGAAAAATCAGTTATACAGGATCAGAGAAACCTAACCTGTCAATGCTTTAGGTGAAAATGTTTGACAAATATGTGTGTTTGTACTTAATTAGTAATCTTCCTTTCTATCCCATTGTCTTGAGCAAGTATCAGTTTATATTGCATTCCTAAGGTCATCATTTAGCTAAAATTTTGCCTCTATGCGTGTGCCTGTATTCTCTATTACACATCCTTCTGTTGAGCAAAAACAAATAAGAAACCCTCCAAAACCGCAAAGCCAAAACAAAAAACAAAACCGTTTATGTAAAAACCAGCTGGGATTTTTAGCTTATCGTGAGCTGGGCAAAGGCTAATATTTACTTAAAAAGCAAAAAAAAATGGTATAGTTTCCAGATTAAGCATCCTCCCATAGGAAGGAAGGAGAAGAGAAAAGAAGAGGGAAGGAGGGAGGGAATATGGAGTGAAGGAAGGAAAGAAAGTTTGGAATCAGAGTGAATCAAGAAGCATTTATTAAGTATATGTTGCTGTTCAATTGTGTCACATTCTTTGTGACCCCATTTTGTGTTTTGTTTTGTTTTTGGCAAAGATGCTGGAGTGGTTTGTCATTTTCTTCTCTAGCTCATTTTACAGGGGAGGAAACTGAGCCAAACAGAGTTAAGTGACTTGCCCAGGGTCACACAGCTAGTAAGCGTCGGAGGCCAGGTTTGAACTCAGGAAGATGAGTCTTCCTAAGTCCAGGCCTGGCACTATGTCCATTGTGCCACCTAGATGTCCTTTATTAAGTATATGCTATGTGCTAGGCCCTGAAGACATACATCCAAAAATAAGACAGTCATTGCTTTCAGTGAACTTACATTTGACTGGGGGAGGATATATGTTCACAGATACATAAATACAAGATGTATACAAAATAAATACAGAATGATTTGGGGTGCAGGGCACTAATAACCAGGGGAATCAGGAAGGGTCTTTTGAAGAAGGTGGCCTTTGAATTGAATCTTGAAGAAAACTAAGAGTTACAAGAAAATGATGAAGAAGAAGAAGATTACAGATATGACAGACAATCTGTGCAAGAGATAAAATCTCACATACGGGAAACAGAAAGTAGACTAGTTTGGCTGAAATGTAGAGAGCATGAGGGGGATTAATGAATGAGCAGCCTGGAAAAATAATGTGGATCATGAAGGGCTCCCCAAACTGAGGAGTTTGTATTTTATTTTAGTGGCAATAGAAAGCCAATGAAGATTCTGGAGCAGGGGAGTGATGTGGTCAGAGCTTTGTTTTAGGAATGTCAACTTGTCAGCTGTGTGGAGAATGGATTGGAGAGAGGAGAGAAGGGAGGCAGGGAGAACAGTTAGGAGGCATTGCAATAGTCCAAAAAAGTCTGAAGGGTGAAGGCTATGTGAGTGATAGAAGGGAATGAATGGAAGAGTTGTTGAAGAGGGAAAACTGACAAGACTTAGGTTTTGTTTGTTTGTTTATTTTGTTTTGGTTTTTTTTGGTGAAGCCATCAGGGTTAAGTGACTTGCCCAGGGTCACACAGCTAGTAAGTGTCAAGTGTTTGAAGCTGGATTTGAATTCAGGTCCTTCTGACTCCAAGACCAGTGCTGTATTTACTGCGCCAGCTAGCTGTCCCAAGACTTAGTAAATGATTTGATATGGCAGGTGATGGAGAAGATAGAGATTGAGGACAACTACAACATTGAGAACATGAATGATAGAAAGAATGGTGGCCCTCTCAAGCTAAACAAGGAAGTTAAGAGGGTCAGTTTGCAAGGAAAGCTAACGAGTTCCATTTTGGATATGCTGAGATGCTTCTTGGACATCCCAGGTGGACATGTCCAGAATGCCATTATGGAGGCAGGATGCAAACTCAAAAAGGAGATGAGGTCTGGATTTGTAGATCTGGCAGTAGTTTGCACAGAGATGGTAGCTGAATTCATGGGAGCTGATGAGCTCACCAAGAGCGTGATTGCTTTTCTCAGTGATAGCTGTAGGTCTGGGCTGTTAGCAGGGCAAGTGGTCTGGAGGACACTGCCCTTCCCAAGGGTCTTGGGTTAAGGTTTCTGGGTAAGCTCCATGGGGATCTGAGGGGAGAGGGTGGTCAAGATGATGGTGGTATTTTGTCTTGCCTGGCACATACCACCTCACATCTCTTCCTCAGAATGCCTTACTGCCACAGTTCACTTGTTTGTCCTGCCTGTGGTGGGTCAAGAGGATAAAGATTGAGAAAACGCCATCAAATGAGCAACAAAGAGTTCATTGGTGATCATGGAGAGAGCATTTCAGTTGAGTGTTGAGGATAGAAAGCAAATTGCTAGGGGTTGAGAAGTGAGTAGGAGGTGAGACAGTACAGTCAGTGAGTGTGAACAGCTTTTTCTAAAAGTTTGGCTATGAATGGAAGGAAAGATCTCAGATGATGAATTGAGAGAATGGGAGGGTCAAATGAAGGTTTTGGTTTTTTTTCCCTTAAAGGGGAAATCTGGACATGTATGTAAACAATAGCAAAGAAGCCAGTGAATTGGAGAGGTTGAAAATTAAAGGGGTGGTGGTGGTGGTGGAGGATGCTCTCATTTTAAAGGACAGGCTCCCAGAGAAGACAGGAAGAAATAGGAACAAAGGCACAAAGAGAGAGGTTTTAGCATTGGCAAGGAAAAAAGAGACCTCATTATTCAAGAGGGTCTGGGTCGTCTTATTAGCAATATGACCTTGAGTAAATTGAGTTTTTCTGACCCCCGGTTTCCTTATCACTAATATGGGGATGGCAATACTTGAACTACTGCTCAGGGTCATAGGGGATATTAGTGTGGTCAAGGATGTTAGTGTGTGAGTGTTACAAGGGTTATGTTTATTGGAAAGTCTGCAGTGAGTTCATAGGCATGAGTAAAAACAGTCTCCGGAGTAAGGACATTTTTCTTCTTAGAAAAATCCCCTATCTGCCTTGAGACCTTGGCTACTTTGATAGAATTGGCTGGTGAAGAGACAACAACTTGAGCTATTTCTGACACCTTTTCCTCATAATAAAAGAAATATTCTTAAAAACATTTTTTCAAATTTTCTTTTTAAAAACTGTGAACTTGACAAACACCAATATGGATTTCCTTATACAAAGAAAAGGAAGGTTATATGTGAAACTGTGAATCTCTGTTTTATATGGATTTTAAAGAATTATATGCTAAATTTCACACAGTAGTACCCCTTCTGTACCCCCTTCTGAACTTCCTTCTGCTCTTATATGCATTTTACAAATATTTCATTAACATTCTTTTCTTTCTCGTCTTTTCAAAAGTTTCACTATCACTACTCTTCCTCTTTCCCCCCAAAGTCTCTGCCTCATAACAAACAAATGCAATTGAGCAAAAGAAATTCACACATTGATCATGTCTGATAACAGTGCTTTCTTCACTTGCAATCCATCATCTCTTTTCAAAGAGATGAGAAGCATGATTCATTGTCATTCTTCAGAAGTCATGGTTGGCCCCTGTGTTGATCAGAGTTCTTAAGTCTTTTGAAGTTGTTTCCCTTTATAATGTTGTAACCAGTGTATAAATTGTTTCCCAGGTTTTGCTCACTTCTCTCTGCATCAATTCATACAAGTCTTACCACGTTTCTTTAAACTGGTACCTTTTGTCATTTGTTAGGGAGGAGGGTGAGCATAGTGGTAAGGGGACTGGAATGCCATATACCATAAGAAATAGTTAAAGGAATTGGGGGTTGTTTAGGTTGGAAGATATAGGATGAAGATCTGGGTATGTATGTTGGCTTTTAGTATTTGAGAGGTTGTCATGCAGAAGAAGGCTTGGACACTTGTAGCACCAAAGGGCAGAACTAAGGTCAGTGGATAGATGCTATAGGGAAGCAGATTTTGGTTCCAAAAGAGGAAGACCTTTCTAACAAATAGAACAGTCCAACAGTGTAATAGTGGAACTGTGGAACTCTAGGTCAGTGTAGGTGTTTCAGTACCAACTGATGTGTAAGACACTCAGGTATGGTATGCTGGAAAGATCAGTGGATTTGGAGCCAGAGGACCTCCATTTAAAGCCTGCCTTTGTTGTTTGTGCCGTGTGTGATGTTGGGTAAGTCATTTAACCACTTTGGGTCTTATCTTCATTTGTAAAACGGAGGGGGGTGTTAAATGTCTTCTATTTCCTTTTAACTCAACATCTGATTCTGTGATATTGCAGAGGGCATGCATGCATCAAGCAGAGAGTTAGACTAGATGAAGTCTATGACCTTTTGACTGTTAAGATTGTATGATTCCTTTGTATTACATAGTTCCATTCTTTCGGCTGTGCTTGCTTTCAGGGTTAGGACCTTAACCTCCCTCTGTACTGCTCTGCTCCAGGTTCTACGATGAGATCAGAACCCCTCTACTCTCTGATATCCGAATTGATTATCCACCTGGCTCTGTCGAGCATGTTACCAAAACTCTTTTCCCTAATTACTTCAATGGGTCTGAAATCATCATTGCTGGGAAGCTGGTTGACAGCAAGTTGGACAACCTGCATGTGGAAGTCACAGCAAGCAATAGTAAGAAATTTGTGGTCCTCAAGACAGATGTTCCTGTTGCGTCCCACAGCACAGGGAATGATGTCACAGGGGTTTCTACTCCAGAGGGCCAAGATGCTGACCGAAACTACATCGAGCGGCTCTGGAGTTACCTTACTATTAAGGAGCTGCTGACCTCGTGGCTGAAGAGTGATGATGAACAGGAGAAAGAACGTTTAATGGAGAGGGCTCGGGCTCTTGCAGTGCATTACCATTTCCTCACCCCTTTCACTTCCTTAAAGGTGAAGGAGTTGGCCTCTGAGGCAGCTCCAGTGGCAACAAAAGAAGTCTATGGCAGTTCTGCAGCAGTGGGTCCAGAGACAGTTGTGCAAAGCTTGCAGGGAAAGAAGATGCCACCAGGTAATGAGGCCATGATGGCAGTTTTTGGAAATTGTTTACTTAGAATTTCTGTTTTCTTTTTTTCAAGGCTAGAGTTCTTTCTGTAAGAGACTAGATTTCTACTTTTTCCCCTTCCCATTAGATTCAACTTAGCTTACGTTTAGCTCAAGTTATTAAAACAGAGTATGAAGTTTCTGGACTTGGGCTGTGTCAGGCTATGACTACTGCAAAATGTTTAGAAAAAGTTACATTTGGCTTAGAAAAGAAACACATCCCATTATTATATGACATATCAATAGCACTCTGTATTTTCAAAAACATCAGTATTGGATTAAATTGTGTTCCTGAGGGGCAAATATGTGTGTGTGTGTGTGTGTGTGTGTGTGTGAGGGGGGAGGGGTTTGCTCATTACAAATACAAGAAAAAAAGTCAAAGACCTGGAATTATTAGAAAATTTTCCTTTCATTTGTTTTATTGTAACTCAGAGTCTACCAATAAATTAAGCTTTTGTTAAGCTACTATAGACCAGTCATTATGTTATGTACTGGAGATGCAAAGATAAAAACAAAACAGTTCCTGGCTCCAAGAAATTTATATTTTAATAGGCAAGACATTACGTTTATGGGAATATGTAAAACAAATAAAAAGCTGATAAAAGGTAATCTTGAAGGGGAAGATACCAGCTGCTAGGGGCAGAATGGGGAGGAACAGGAGAGACCTCATGCAAAAGATGGCATTTGCATTGAGTCTTGAAGGGAGCCAGGGTTTCCAAGATGCTGAGGTGAAGAAGAGAGAAGTAGGCATAGGGGACAGCTAGGGCAAAGGAATGGCATGGTGTTGGAATACGGTGTGTGAGAAACAGCAAGTTGACCATTTTGACTAGACCACAGAATTTGTGGAGGGGAGGAGCGTGCAAGAAGACTGGAATGGTAGTATGTTGCTAAGTTGTGAAGAGTTTTAAATGCCAAACAGAGGTGTTTATATTTCATCTCAAAGATAGTAAGGAGTCAAGTCAAATCAACAAGCATTTATTATGTGCCAGGCGCCATGCACTAACAAAGCACAAAGAAAGGGGGAAAAAACAGTCCTTGCTTAATGGGGGAGACAACATGCAAAACTCTCTCTTTCTCTGTCTCTCCGAATAATGTATAAGAAGACTGGAAAGGCAAGAAAGGAGAAAAGGGTCAGGTTATGAAGGGTTTGGAATGCCACAGCACTTTACATGGGATCCCAAAGTTGACAGGGAGCCATTGAAGTTTACTGAGTGAGTTTTTTGGGGGGCAGGGTGGGAATGAAAAGTTTATGGAAAACTACTTTGTCAAAAAATAGAAAAGAATTTAGAACAGAGCCTTAGAGTGTGGGGAAGTAAAGTTTCTGTCACTAGTATTATTATGCTTTGGGGTTTGTGGAACCAGGGATTGGATAACATGTTTTTAACTCTTTAGGTTAAATAATCAACAAGAATATATTAAGTGTCTACTTTGTGCCAAATACTGTGCTGGGGACTATGAATACAAAGACAAAAGTGTAACAGTCCTTGCCCTCCAGGATTACATTGTATTAGGGCAGACAACCTGTTAAAAAGTACATACTTGCAAAATATATAGCCAAGGTGAGAGGCAGCCAACTGAGCCAAATCAGAGAGCCCAACCTAGTGGCATGTGCTTATATGTCTTGGTTTTTTCCTCTAACCCTACAAATATGTGTCACCAAATTAGCCGAACAACATGGACTCTTGAAGCTAGGTGAAAGATGATGATGGTAAGATGCTTCTATAGCAAAGCATGGAAGTTCCTTAAATGAGTTTGTACCAGCAAAAGTAGAATAATTTTAAGAAAGATTTGAACCAGGTTGTATAAAGAATATTATTTTGTGCCATTGAGGCCATGTGACAGGGAAAATTACTTTTGTGAATGACATTGTTATTGTAGCCCTATGACAGTGACCCAGATCTCAGTAGTTTCAAGAGGGATAAGGCTCAGATGCTACAATGTCCAGAGGACCAAAGACAGAAATGAGAAAATAAGCCAACTGATTTCTCTAAGGAATATCTCTGAAATGATTTTCATGAGGTGTCAATTGGTGCTTAAAATAATCTTCATTTCCTTAAAACCATGATGATTTTGTTGAGTTTCTCTGGGAAATACAATTCACCAAGGCCCATGAATCATCAAAGCATTCACCTCAGTTGGATAATCCCTTTCCTTTATATTCAATTTTCATTCAGCCAGCATCATATTGGCCTGGGACCATGTAGAAAGAAGTCCAAGAGAATGAGGTAGAGAAAAATATTGCTCTTTAGGGGGATGCTTGAAGGGTGGAAAGGGTTTGGACAACATATTAGGAGTTTTTCATCTTTAACTTCCGAGAATTAAGACCTGTCTTTATGAGATGAGATACAACCCAAATACAGTTGCAAATTTTTATTAATCCAAAGAAAATGGAAATAAGATATTCATGAGTAAGATGTTAAGTTGTTCTTTTGCTGTGCTCACCACTTTTGCCACACTCTTTGTGCATCCAAAGTTGATTATTATTAAATCATTCATATATGGCAGAACATGTTTTCCCAATAATTCACAGAAATTAAAAAAAAAACCTTATGCTGCATAGAATAATCTAATCATGAAAATTAAGACTCTGCAGTTCAAGCCTTGGTATGTATCTTCTGAGGCAGAATTTTTTTTGGTAATTTTCAGACTTTCAAGCACATCAAATGTACATGAAAATTGACTCATCTTACTTTTCTTCTCCCTGCTCCTATTCTTTTATTTTATACATTTTAACAGTGGCTGCTCCATTTTTCTCCTTTCTAGAACCTGATTTCAAGAAACAGTACAACCCAAGAATTAAAATCTCCAAAACATCAGGTACAGAAAAACAATATAAGTGTGGATGGATTAATTGAGGTAAATCCCTTTTCCCACTTTGGTTGGGTCTGTCTAAATGAAGGTGAGTAACTAGTAACTTCTTAAAGCCCATCCAAATATTCTCCTGTAGTATAGGAGAGCAGGGATCCCCTTCATCTGGCCAAGGCCAACAGCTGTGAAACAAATGCCAAAAGAACCATCATTACATCATTGTACTGAAGCTTGGGAGATAACACAGTAAATGAAGAAGTGGCAGGAAGGATTGATAAGAGGGGTACGTTTCAATAATTGTGCTAGCTTTAAAAGCTAAATTGTTTTAAGTCTTCGAACTAGGCAAGATTCCAGCCTCCAGTCTTAGAGATAGCTCTGAAATGAACTTTGCATATCTTTGGCCTCAGAGGGGAAGCCTATACCAAAATGTCAAAAAACTCTCTTTTGCAAACTTCCTGAGTTTACAAGAAAGACCAGATGGAATGACAACGGAAAGCCTAAGGTTTTTTTTTTCCCTCAAGAAGTTAAAGTCTTTCGACCCTAAATCTCTGTTATTGCTTTTCTGATTATACTATCCATTGAGTAGTTCATAAGGCTAAGTAAAGCTACTCAGCTTCCAACTGACATAATCTAATTCCTTTGAGCACACACATTCCTTGTGAAATGCTTGCAAATCTCTTTTGGATGTTACGTGAAACTTGATGATCTGCACATTTCTTCATCTGGAGTAAATAACATCATTTCCTATAAGTATGTAGGGGAATTTGGGTAGAAAAACGTTTTATAAATAAATAGAAAACCTTTTGTTACCTGACTCAGATATTATGTTACCATACCCAAGAAAAGCAGAAACAATAAGTGACAACTTTCTCTCCTTGACGTTTTGGTTTCACCAAAAAAGACATAAAACTTTGTGTGTATGTGTGTGTATGTATGTGTGTGTATGTATATCTATCCATCTATCTATCTATCTAGAGGACCTTTCTTCTAGAAAATTCAGAGTCAAGCATGGTATATTTTGCCAGATTCTCCCAATGCATTTTTGAGTAATATTGGTGAGATTCTGGATGTAGGGTAGTGCAAATCAAATCCAATAGTCAACAGGCATTTATTAATGTGCTAGGCACTATGCTAAATACTTGGCATATTACTGAAAGATGAAAATAATAGGCTCTGTCCTCAAGTTTACATTATAGTCAGAGAGACAACATATATAAAAATGAGTACATAAAAGATATATACAGAGTAGATGGAAAATAACCTTATAGGGGAAGTCATTAGCAGCTGGCAGCAGGTGGAGGTGGCAGGGTGGGGAGTGAAGGTGCCACTAAAGGTTTCCTAAAGAAGATGGCATTCTACCAAATTCTTGAAGAAAACCAGGGATCTAAGAGGGGAAAATGAGGAGGGAGAGCTTTCCAGGCATGTGAGACAGCCAGTACAAAGGCACAGAAATAAAAGATGTAGTGGGGGTGGGGGTGAGTGGGAGGATGATGACATGTACACTTTGGGAAAATCACTGGCACCTGGGTGGAGGATAAACTGGAGTGGGGAAAGACTTGTGACAGGGAGATTAATCAACAATTTATTGTGATAGTCCATGGACGAGGTGATGAGAGCCTGAATTAAAGAGGGGAATGTATCTAAGAGATATTTTGAAGATAGAAATGACAATATTTGGTGACTAATCAGATACATAGAGTGAGAGCAAAGAGTTGAAGATGGTATTGACTTTGTGATCCTGGGAGACTGGGAGGATGGTGATGACCTAGGGAAGTTCAGAAGAGGGGTAGGCTTTGGGAAAAAGATGATGTTTTGTACATGTTAAGTTTGAGATGTCTATGGATCATGTAATTTGAAATGTTAGCAGGCAGTTGGTGTTGTGGGACTGAAGCCAGGGAAGGGATTAGAGCTTGATGTATAGATCTGGGAATTATTTGCACAGAGATAAAACCCATGGATGCCTAATGAGATAGTGTAGAGAGTAAAGACAAGAAGAGAAACAGGAAAGACCAGTGTTGAGAAAACCGAGGGAGGAGAGAATGTTCTAGAGGAGGTGATCAATGATGTCAGAGGGAGCAGAGAGGTGAAGGATGAGATGTGAGAAAAAGTCATTAGATTTGGCAATTAAGAGATCTTCAGTAATTTTGAAGAGGGCAACTCAATTGAATGGTGAAATTGAAAGCCAGATTACAAGGGTTAGAAGAGAGTGAGACAGAGAAAAGAGTAAGTGGAATTTTTTTTGTTTAGCTGAGGAGAAACATAGGATGATAGCTTACATGGACAGTTGGATGAAGTGATGGGTTTTCTTAATGGTAGAGGAGACAAAGGCTTGTTTGGAGGCAAGAGGTATGGAGAGATTGAAGTGAGGGAGAGAGAGTGGAGAAGATAGTGGGGAAAATTTGCTAGAGATGATAGGATGGGATGGGATCAAGGGAGCATGTAGACACCTTGGCCTTGATAAAAAAGAAGGGTCACCACTTCATCAAAGTCTGGAGTGAAGGAGATAATGGTGGATGATGTCAGGGGAATATGAAGAAGGGGATAAGAGGAAGCTTGTGGAGTATGGCCTCAGGATTTTTTTGGTGGCAAATTATGAGGTGCAGTTAAGAGGTTAAGGGGTGAGAGTGTTGTGGGAAGTTTGAGGAAAGAAGAGTAGATTTGGAACAGCTGCTGTGGTGAGTGAATAAAGAATTGATTAGGGAGGAGTAGAAGGATTACCTTGCTGCAGTGGGGGCCAGTAAATATTAGATAACATAAATTTTAGTGGAACCATATCAACACAGTTTTGAAAGTTCCTCTAGCTCCCTTCAGCAGCTTGTGCATAAAAGTAATGGAGGTTGGGGGGGAGTATTATGTCTAGTGCTGGCATTTGGAAAAACATGATTGGTTTCAAGACAAGGGGGCAAAGGACTTGAGAGTAGAAGATAAGGTAGCAGTGAGCTAGTTCGCTAAGGAAAGAGTATTGACTGCCCTCAGAGTCTGGAGCCCCGAGTTTTAAAGGTCCTGGCTTCATCATTGATTGATGTGCCTGTTGGTGAGTTACTTCTCTGTGTCTGTTTTCTAATCTGTAAAATAAGGACATTGGACAAAATGTGCTTTAAGGTTTTTTCTAGCGCTAACATGCTGTGACTTTCTGGGTTAGTGAAATCTATACACAGGTTCTCTGAGACAATGATTAACCTAAAAGTCAAGGAAGATAGAGTCCTCCCCTTCCCGCTGCTTATGACCCCCAAAGGAGAAGGTGTTCAGGCTCACATTACTTAGTTAATAAATAACTATTTAGGGGGAACTAAGTAAACATGGGTATTTGGTATAGGTCTCAGGGGGAAAAAATTAGACTATAAGACAAGAGACTTATGCATAGAATGAGTAAGAACTCAGTATCAGAAGAATTTACTTGACCCTGTACACAAGGATGTAAGGCTCAGATCATGAGCTTCTTATTGCAAAATTCAGGCTTAAATTGAAGAAAGTAGGGAAAACCATTAGAACATGTAGGTATGACCTAAATAACATCCCTTATGAATATGAAATGGGAGTGAAGAATAGCTTTAAGGTATTGGATCTGGTAGATAAATTGCCTGAAGAATTATGGACAAAGGTTCATAGTACTGTGCAGGAGGCAGCAACGAAAACCTCCCAAAGCAAAAGAAGAGCAAGAAAGCAAAATGACCATCTGATGAGGCTTTACAAATAGCGGAGGAAGGAAGAAAAGCAAAAGGTAAAGGAGAAAGAGGAAATATATACTCAACTGAATACAGAATTCCAGAGAATAGTGAGGAGAGATAAGGCTTTCTTAAATGAGCAATGAAAAGAAATGGAAGAAAACAATAGAATGGGAAAGTCAAGGGATCTCTTCAAGAAAATTAGAGACATCAAGGGAACATTTCACATAAAAAATGGGCAGGATAAACAGTAGAGACTTAACAGAAGCAGAAGAGATTAAGAAGAGGTGGCAAGAATACACAAAAGAACTATACAAAAAAAATCTTAACATCACAGATAACCACAGTGATGTGGTTACTGATCTAGAGCCAGACATCCTGGAGAATGAAGTCAAGGGAATTTTAGGAAGCATTGCTAACAATAAGGCTAGTGGAAGTGATAGAATTCTAGCTGAGCTATTTTAAAACCTAAAAGATGATACCTTTAAAGTGCTACACTCAATATGCCAGCAAATTTGGACAACTCAACAGTGGCTACCGGATTGGAAAAGATCAGTTTACATCCCAATTCTAAAAGACAATGTCAAGGAATTTGCAAATTACTGAACAACTGTACTCATTTCACACATAGGCAAGGTTATGCTTAAGATTCTGCAAGCTAGGTTTGGTCCATGGAGTCATGAAGAGTTGGACGTGACTGAACACCTGAACAAACAATAACAACACAAGGATGTACTTGAAAGGCAGTGTGGTATAGTGGGTGGAGAATTGCTTTTGGGAGTCAAGAAGACTTGGGTTCAAGTTGTACTTTTGATACATTTTGGCTGTGTGACTCTGGGCAAGTTACTTAACCTTTCAGGGGCAACTGGCAACTCTTTCCATTATAGAGCAGATGCAGATCAGTGCTGGCAAAGGGAGTTTTCACATTGGCAATGAAATCCTTTGCCAATGAAATCACAGGACTGGTTCTAAACAAAGTAGCTCACTTTAAGATTTACAAAGCAGTTTATATATATTATCTCATGTAATCCTCACCATAACCCTGTGAGAGAGATGTTATTATTATTATTAATTATTATTATCATCCTCATTTTACCAGTAAGAAAACTGAAGAAGAGAGAAGTTGAGTTGCCCAGAGTTGAGGCAGAATTTGAACTCAGGTCTTCCTGACTCCAAGTCCAGCATTCTATCCACCATGCCACCCAGATGCATAGTTGACATTTACATCATGTTTTAAGGTTTATAAAGTACTTTTCATGCTTTATCCCACTTGACCTTCAAAATTCTCTGAAGTAGATAATGCAAGGTTTACTTTTCCTCATTTTTTTACACAAGAATAACTAGCTAGCATTTATATAGCATTTCAAAGTTTGCAAAGCATTTTACAGTTATCTCACTTTATCCTCACAGCAACCCAGTAGGTAGGTGTTATGGTTATCCCTATCTTACAGAAGAGGAAACTAAGGTAGACAGTGTTTAAGTGACTTGCCCACCGTCACACAGCTAGTAAGTATTTAAAAGTGAACCACAGAGGTTAGAAGTCAGACGGCTAGTATGAGAAGAACTGGAATCCAAACCCATGTCTCCTAGTTCCAAATCCAATAGAAAAAGCCTATATTTAGAGCTGGAAGGGACCTCAGAAGCCATTTAGTCTAAACCCCATCATTTTACAGATGAAGAAACTAAGGTTCAGGAAGATTGAGTGATTTTCCCAAAGTTACCTATGTTAGGTAATAAGTGACAAGGGTAGGATTTGATCTTAGATCCTCTAACTCAAAAGCTGGCTTGGGAGTGGGCAGTTTTCAGTAGCACTTAAAAAAAATATGTGAATGTATGTTAATGATAATGTTGATGTCTCTCCTCCCCCCTCCTACCCCCCACCCCGACCATTGGTAGTGAAATCAGAATGAAAATTAGAAAAACTACTGAAAAAGAAGAGGCAGCTAGATGACCCAGTGAATAGAGTGCTGGGCCTGAGATCAAATTTGACCTCAGACACTTACTAGCCGTGTGACCCTGGATAAGTCACAACCTCTATTTGCCTTAATCCACTAGAGAAGGAAATGGAAAACCACTCCAATATCTTTGCCAAGAAAACCCCATGGACAAGAGTCTTGTAAAGACACAACCGAACTGAAAAAGAAGCAGTGTATAGGGACCTCCCTACTTCTATCCCACAGCCTTCTCTTATACAGTCAAACTCAATAACGGCCTTAAGTTTTCTTCTCTTTTCTTACTGTTAGCGGATGGAGACCCTCATTTTGTGGTGGACTTCCCTTTGAGCAAACTCACTGTGTGTTTTAACATCGATGGGAACCCTGGGGACATTCTCAGACTTGTCTCTGATCACATGGACTCTGGTAAGCTCCATCCTTGCTTGTGGAATTAAATGAAAGAGGGGGTAGAGGGACTTGTACACTCTACCATCACCGATGGGATCCAGATATCTAGCCCCCGCCATTTTTAGAGGACAAGAAGTCAAAGAGCCTGGAATTCCATCCATAACTATAGCTCTGTGTGAACTCAGCATTACAGCACAAGGCATATACTTTCACTGCTTTATGCCTCATTTCTTTAAAAAAAACTTTTTTATTATAAGTAACAATCATCGTCAAACACAAACATTGCAATATGCAAAAAAGAACAAGAAAAAGGATTATGAAAATGTGCACTTCTGTTATATATAGCTTTTTGTAATGTATGCATTAAAGGAGAGCAGTGGCAGCATGGTGTAATGGATAGAGAGTTGACTTCAAAGCCAGGAAGACCTGGGTTCAAACCCTGCCTCTGACACAAAGTGGCTGTGTGATCCTGGGCAGTCACTTCTCAGTGCTGTAGGTTAATGGTGGCAAACTCAAATATAAATTGAGGCCACTAAGTCATACATAACAATTGTTCTGGGTATATATTGACTTAGAGAATCACATATTAACATTATCTGTGTTTTATTGTATTTTTATTTATTTTGTTAAATATTTCCCGATTGTTTAGTAGTTTTTCAGTCCTATCTGATTCTTTGTGACCCCATTTGGGGTTTTCTTGGCAAAGATACTGGACTGGTTTGCCATTGCCTTCTCCAGCTCATTTTACAGATGAGGAAACTGAGGCAAACAGGTTAAGTGACTTGCCCAGGGTAACACAGCTAGTAAGTGTCTGAAGCCAGATTTGAATTCTGGTCTTCCTGACTCTAAGCCTAGCACTCTATCCATTTTGCTATCTAGCTGTCCAGTCCTAACTATCCTAAGGACTAAATCCTGCCTTGATTCCAAGATCAAAGGACTCAGCAGAGACCTTAGAAGCCAGGTTAGGCCCTTCCCCTAAAACCTCAGGGTAATTGCCAGAATTCATGTGGTTTCTTTAAATCATCAGTTCTGATTGCTATCTATGGAATGACAGTGCTTTTTTAACTGGAAACTCATATGGAGAAATCTCAAAGCACAACTGATAAAATGCTCAATTAGATTCAGCAGAGTCTGGCATCCCTTTTCCTTCTGTCTTTGTTTCCTCATTCCAGCAATGAGAGTTTTCAATTCAATTGAAAAAAAAACAACACCTTTTCTTAATCCCTAATATATGCGAGTCACTAAGCCAGGTGCTTGTAGTACAAAGGGGGAAAAATGTAGTGGTCTCTGCCATCAAGGAACTTACATTCAGTGATGTGAATAAAACACTAACACAAATACATAAAGATAGGGAATTTGAAGAGGGAAAGAACACCCAGCAACTAGGGGGTGCCAGGAAAGGCTTCCTGGAGGAGGTGGCACCTGAGTTGTCATCCCCTGGAATGGCTAAGAAGATGATATGGAACAGGAGGATTAATTAGGGAGAGTGAGGCTGTATTATACGGTAGTAACCTCTAATGACATATCATCTCTAGCCAGGGAGAACAATCCATGTCAGTACTTATTGTTTCATTAGACATTAAGGTATCTCGTGTAAGGCTGCCATTTGTAAGATATTCAGCCAAGCAGTATGAAAATCCACATCTTTATTTGAGAGAACTTCATTAAGTCTTAGGATATAGCATTGGAAGGGGACCTCAGAAGTTACCTAGGCCAACCTCCTCATTTTTCAGATGAGGAAACCGAGGCCCGGAGAGCTCAAGTGAGTTGTCCATAGCCACACAGGAAGTAGAGGCAAGATTCAAACCAAGGTTTTCTCCCTCCAAATCCAATGCTTATCTCGCTACACAACAGCCCCCCCCAACATGTTAATATCTTTTGTTTTTTACATCATGTTCGTTTAAAAATATACCCCTCCCTTCCCGCCTTCCACAGAAAGTTGTTCCTTGTAACAGACAAAATGAGAGAGAAAAAAGCATTTTAGCAAAGCTAACCAACATGTCAGCTGAATGCGACAGAGTATAAAATGCTTCATACCCATTGCCTCTCTTCTTTCCAATGAACTGAGGGAAACACTTCTCAACTCTTCTCCTCTTAGTTATTATGACTTCTTTCCATTTATCTTATATCCATTTGTAGATTATTTTCCTGGTGCCATTTACTTTCCTTTGCATCTGTTCATATCAATGTTTCCATCCATGCCCACTCTTTGAAAGATGCAGTGATGACATCCTAAGATGTCTGGTTAGGGCTATAGCAAGTGTCTCCTAATTGGAGACACACAGGATACCTTATCAGTCCTTGCGTCATTGGGCAAGAGGTGGAATGGGGTCCAAAGAGCTAATGCCAAGAGCCCCAATGTCACAGCCTTGTCAGTGTCTAGTCACCACTAGCTGGTTGTTGATGGCCAATTGTCAGTAGAATTCTGACTGTTCTGTTCACAGACAAAAAGGATCAAGTATTGTTGTCATTATGGTAGTGGTTCTGGCTTCTTTGTTTTGAGAATGGAACAATTTACCTAACCACTGTTTTGTTTTTCCATCCTTGCTTCATAAGGTGTCACAGTGAATGGAGAATTAATAGGGGCCCCAGCTCCTCCAAATGGCCACAAGAAGTATCGGACTTACTTTCGAACCATCACCATCCTCATCAATAAGCCAGAGAGATCTTACTTGGAAATCTCACCAAACAGGATTGTCTTGGATGGTGGGGACAGGTTGGTCCTCCCTTGCAACCAGAGTGTAGTAGTGGGGAGCTGGGGGCTGGAGTTGTCTATTTCTGCCAATGCTAACATCACAGTGACCATCCAGGGCACAATCACTTTTGTTATTCTTATTCATCTCTACAAAAATCCAGCTCCTTACCAGCGAAATCATCTTGGCTTCTACATCTCCAATAGCAAAGGACTCTCAGCCAATTGTCATGGGCTTTTAGGTAAGGTGTGTGTGTGTGTGTGTGTGTGTATGTGTGTGTGTGTGTGTGTGTGTGTGTGTGTATACACGTGTGTGTGCTCACTTGTGTTTGGCTCGAGCTTCCCTTCTATTTATACTGAGGCAAACAATTAAATTCTTTAACTTGAAGTTGATGCTGCTGACATTTTGTTCTTTTCTCCCACCCTTTCTCCCTTCTTCTTTCTTGTCTTTCTGTCTTCTCCCACTCCCCTCTCCTTACTCCCCATTCCTCTTTCTTCCCACTTCCTTTCATTTAATTGGTATAGGAAATTCCTCGTGAGGAAATGTTATATTCTTAAAAGAGTTGCCTGAGATGTTAAATGACTTGCCCGTGGTCACACAGTCATTATGTGTCAGAGGCAAGACTTGAACTGAGGTCTTCCAGTCTATAAGACCAGCTCTCTCTCTCTAGGTGGCACAGTGGATAGGGCACTGGGAATGGAGTCAGAAAAACCCGAGTTCAAATCCAGCCTCAGACACTTACTAGTAGTGTGACCCTGGGCAAATTATTTAACCTCTTTCTGTCTGACTTTAGTTTCCTCAACTGTAAAATGGGAATAATAATAGCACCTACCTCCCAGGATTCTTGTGAGGATTAAATGTGATAATATTTGTAAAACATTCAGCACAGTGTCTGGCACACAGTAAGAGCTTAATAAATGCTTGTTCCTTCATCTCACCTCTCACCTCCCACCATGATCCTGGCTTTAGTTTCATTAGTTTTAGAAAATTTAATACGAATGCTTTCATATAACATAATATATGGAAGCATGGATTCCCATTTAGACATCCATAAAGACTTTCTGGGAATAGGAGGAGACTGTAGAAGCCAATGCATCCTGGGAACTATAAGTGAAAGGTTCTGTTTTCTCACTTCTCTGCAGAGTGGCATTAATGAAGTTCAAGCCATTATAGATTCCTTTGATGTAAATCCCCTGTGTTCTTAGGAACAGAGCTAGCAGTGATACTTTTACTTCGTTACTGACCATGCCAATTCCCGTAGCTCTCTTGCTGCAAATTAACAGTAAGACACTGTGCCAGAGCTAGGTTTATAAGGCTGGATTTCCTGTTATTTGAACCTGAGCATTTTAGCAAGGTCTTGTCCAGAGGTGGGGAGTTTCCACCATGTAGCCTGGAGGCCATATATGGCCATCTAGGTCCTCAAGAGCAGCCCTTTGAATCAGTCAATTGAATCAGTAAAAATACCAATCAATCAGGCACCTAGGTACTTAGATGAAATTGGGAATAAAATGTGACTGAAGGATATCCTAAAAAAAAACCTAGTCATTTGTTGACTAGAAGTTTGGTCAGAAAGAGGGATGAGGAGTAACCTAAATCTTTAGTTGTTTTCACTATTGCTGCTACCCAGTGACTGAAACAGAAGTCATTTTCTGTAGGAACCTTGACTCTTTATGCCTTCTTATGCCTTATGCCTTCTTTGAATGAGTCAAAGGGCTGCACTTGAAGACCTAGAGGGCCACATATGGCCTCCTGGCCACAGGTTCTCCACCCCTGGTCTTGTCTATCAAGAATGAATTTTGTTGTAGATTGGGGTCTAGAACCCCACTTACCTGGAGAAATTCTGTTTGTGAATATCAAAGTGAAATAGTCATCCCAATGACTATAGGACATGTCAGCCCTGGATATGAGAACATGTGGTAGGGAAATGACTTTTGAAGCTATCTTAATATATGCAGCTCTTCATACTACATCCCCAAGCAACTCAGCTACTCTACAAATGTCAAGCTGCACAAAGGGTAGGGAGGGGAAGCTTGGGGGAAACAGCCTCCTGTTTCTCACCTTCACTACCTCTTGCACACACAGTCAGTGCCTCACCCTATCAAGGGGACCTTGGGACTAGGTTACCAAAAAGACCTAGTCCTCCTTCCCTGTCACCCCTGCCTCTTTCTCTCTTTTCTTAGGGGACTGTGGCAGGGTTGGTGGATCTCCATGGAGCTAGTCTGGAAAATTTCCAATGCTAAGGTAATAGGCAACAGCCTATTACAAAACAGCCTCCAAACATGGAGAGAAAGGGAGAGACTTCTGGGAGGAGTCAAAGAAAATGACTGTAGATGTAGATCTTGAAAGGACTTTAGAAGACATGCGCTGTACCTCTTCATTTTACAGATGAGGAAACTGAGGCCTAGAGATGTTAAGTGATTTGTTCAGGGTCTCATAGATAGTAAGGATCTGAGATAGGATTTGAATCCTGGTTTCCTACCTCCATGTCCAATAACCCATCCACTAGCCCCTCTTTCCTCTCCAAATCTTAGACTGTGGTTGTCTTAAAGTTTCCCACTGATGTCAGAGCATTCTCCTTTACTGTCCTAAATGTTCAGTTAACCCAAACTGGAGCCAAATATTGTTATTACGTCTGTGCTAATTGGGTTTGACCGATGTTTGGTTCTTTTTTCCCTCTGTAGGTCAGTTCCTGAACCAGGAGCCTAAACTAACAAAAAAGCCAGTTGGCTCAGGCTCCAACCGGAACCGTACTGAGCCTTCAGTCTCCCAGGCAGACTTAAGCTCTGAGACCATTCTAAAAGTGAAAGAGCATCGGGTCCCAGTGTTTTGGAAACAGAGGAAGATCTACAATGGACAAGAGCAGATAGACTGCTGGTTTGCCAAAAATTCGGCCAAGCTCATTGATGGAGAGTACAGGGACTACTTAGCCTCCCATCCTTTTGATACAGAGACCACTCTTGGAGTAGGGACATCCCAGTGACTATAGGACATGCCAGCCCTGGAGATGAGAACACATGGTAGGGAAATGACTTTTGAAGCTATCCTAATGTATGCAGTTCTTCATACCACATCCCTGAGCAACTCAGCTACTCTCAGATGTCAAGCTGGTCAAAGGGTAGGGAGGGGAAGCTTGGGTGAAGAAGTTATTTCCTTCCTTCTTTCCCCTTTTTGCCTTTCCCTACCTTATCCACAGAGGAGAAAGAAGTGACAGAACTAAGTGGGAGATGCAACAAAACCTTGACATTGCTCTAACCTGGCACCACTCTTCTTCCATGTATCTCAGCACCTGCCACACATTAACCAGCTCCTTTGTGATGCAGGCTGATTGACTGGAGACCTTGCCTTTGATGTGGAAATGGCCGGCCTGGGTCAGCAACCTTGCCTTTTGCCTTACACCAATGCTTGGCGAGCTCTCCTTTATAAAACTTCTAAGTCCTCTGGATGCATGGCTAGCTCCTTGCATGGGAGGGCACCTCTAGCCTGTCTCTGGTTATAGCACATGGATTTGATAATGGCCAACAACTCTATTATTCCTTAGGAAAGTCTCCTCTGCGGTGTTAGCTCACCTTTTTAAAAATTAGCTTTTTTTTGGTTCACTGTAGGAATTGATATGAGATCAGTCCCTCTCTACCTAAAATCTTATTAGCTGGATTTGTAAATAACTGGACTTTGTTTATTGATATTTTCCTATTTATTTAGTTATGCTAAGTCCATAAAGGAGGGAAAATAACAAATATCATGTGTATTTGAACTAGTCTGCTTGGAATGCTGAGAATCTTGCCAGCTGTGTGTTAAGTCACTTACAAAGCCCTAGGAAATCTCTGGTTTACTCTGATAGATTCTGGATGATTTTTTTTTTCCGCAATGAAAGGTTCTTCAGGAGATGATGAACTGAGCTGTCCCAAGTGGAATTGGGGTGTGGCTGGGGAAGGGGCTGGCTTAGATTCAGTGCAGAATGACCCTGGCAGGCAAGCTAGCTGTAAGGGATTAACTTGCACATTGACTTACCAAACCTGAAAAGAATGCCAGCATCTCAGAGTTACATAGGCCAAGGAGTCAGAAATCATGGTGGGAGTGAAGAAGAAGTTTGATTTTTTTTCAGACCTTGGCCAAACCTGTGTCCCAAATGGAAGAGGGAAGGGTACAGTTGTAGGGGGCTGGGAGTGAAAATACCCCCCCCAAATGTTGTCCATTTAATTTTTAAACATACCATCGGAAGCCAAATTGTATTACTAAAGGAGAATAAGCCTGATAGTAGAAAGGAAGCTTTATCAGCACTCTTTTCCAAATATCTCTCCACCTTTGCTCTGCTGTTCATCATACTGTCTTTTAAGTGAAACAAGCCTACATCAGAGGAAGGTTGTCTGGGAAGTAGACAGATGCAGGGTGTATGGAGCCAAACAGAAGAGGGGTGCCAGGAATTTTCAGCCAAAGAAATATTTTCTTTTGACGAGAGCTGTATTAGAAGGCCAAGCGTTAACCTCAGGAGAGGTTCCTTATGTTAGGAGGACTGCCAAACCAGCCCTCGCATGAAATGTGAAAACAGCCCTAGCATTTGGGGAGAAATCAGAATTAAGAAAATTGTTTGCTGCTTTTGCCTTCCCTTGAGAAACATCAGAAATAGCCAAATGTCACCCATGTGGGACAGTCAGATCCAGACAGCTTCAGGGGTAGTAGCTTAGGTCACTTTATTGTCTAATTTCTCTAATCTCTCTTAAATCATCCACCTCTGTCCTCAACAACAGATGGCCAGGAATTGATCTCCTGAGTTGTCAGTTATATCGCTTATCCTGCTATCCATTTGTTCTCTCCCTCTCCTCTCTCTCCCTCCCCCCTCTGCCCCTCCTCCTCTCTCTCTCTCTGTCTCTCTCTTTCTGTCTCTGTCTCTCTGCCTATCTCTGTCTCTGCCTCCCCACCTCCTATCCCCTTTCTCTCTCCCTCAGTACTCTCTCAAAATAGGTGCTTGCTCTGAGACAATAGGTGCAGAGACAACTAGTCTAGACTTCAAGGAGGTGGTTATACATTTTGGCACTCACACAGAGAAGGGAGTAGCATGAGCCAGAACCAAGACCTAACTGGGCAGGCTTTTGATGGTCCTTTTCTCTTACTTTGCATGTTAGTGCCCAAGATGGGCAGATATAGCCGAGTTGAACCCTGTCCATTTTAAGTATTCAACAAAATCCAGACTGAGGACTTTAGATTAAAAGGATTTCCTGACGGTGAGATTCTTTAAAGGCAGAAACAGGCAATCATTTTACGGCCATTTTCCCTCAAGGTGGCTTTTCATATCTAAGTTCATTTGTCTATGCCCTTGCTAGATCTCCCAGTGGTAGCAGTAGTAGAGAAAGCTTACTTTTAAGCCAGGAAATACTAGGCTCAAGGCCCCCCTCTGGCACATAAAGACTGTGTGACCTTTGGTAAATCAGTTAACCTCTCAGTGCTTTAGGCAGCTCTCAGACTATAAATTAGGTAAAAGGAGCCGACCTGCAAATGGTAGAGGGAATTCCCTCAGCTTGGAGTTCCCTTACAACTATAAACCACAGATCCAGACCTTATCTCAGACTACAAATAGAATAGGAACTTAACTGAAGACTTTGGGTGAGGGAGTTCCTGGATCCATTATCAGAGGAAGAGGAAGAAGGGGCTGCCAAAGCCTTAAGAAACATTAAAACTCAGCCCTCCTTATTCCTCCTTCCCCTCTTTTGAGGGGCTTAGAACAACACTACCCCCATTCCTCCTACATTCTGCTCATTCTGCTTCATGACAGCCTTTCCTTGGTCCAAAAAGCAAGCATCTGCTGGGATTTTGCGATGCCTCCTTAAGACTTGTTTTAAGTGACTGCTATCCAGAGGTCCTTGATTTGCCTTCCTTACATCTTTGTACCTTTGGCATACCTAGACTTAAGACAGAGGTGCAGGACTCATTGATGGATCTTCCTTCCGGGGCTTTGGGAATGAATGGGATATCCAATTGGCTTTGATCAGAAATGCATTCTAATTTTCTGATCTTACTACCTCTCTTCAAGGGTCTAAAACAGAATGTGTACAAAGATGATGTATCTGGCCCACTTGGCGCTTTTAAGAACTAAATTTAGAGTTACACCATCTGGGTTGGAATTCTAAGGAGATTCCCCACTATATAACCTTGGGCAAGTACCTAACCTTTTTGTGCCTCAGTTTGACCATCTGTAAAATTAAGGGATGGGCCAGAAGATTTCTAAGTTCTTTTCCAGCTCTAAAGGGCTATTGCTGTAATAGGGGTTAAAGATCTGCAATAATTTCTTTGCCCTCTTTTTTTCGATTTCTCCCATGCACAGTGACATACCTGTGGGAAAAGCTGGCTAGAAGTCTGGATGTACTCTATGACTGAAAAGTTAAACTAGCCAATAGGATTTGACCAATGACCTTAGCCTTGCTCATATCACACTTTAAACAATTATAAGCATTTATTAAGCACCTACTTACCAAAGAACACAGTTCTAGGCACTGGGCACACAAAGACCTTAATGAAATCATCTTTGCTATCAAGGAGGAGTGACATTCTTTTAGAGGAAGACATGTGCCCAAACCAAAATGAGTTGACTAGACCACACACCTATTACCAGAAGTGAAACTTGTAAGAGCTCTCTCTGCTACTGGGAATATTCTGAAGTTGCCAAAAGTTCATGTTCAGTCCTTGGTGCTTATGGTAAGTTAGAAAGAAGGCAGGATGAGGCTGTTGTGTGAATTCAGTGAACTTGACCACAATCTTTCTGGTTTCCCAGAGGCACACTCTGGTATTCTACAATGGGGCTGTTCCCTGGCAAAGGATTTCTTTTGATTTGTACCTTTCTTATTAGGCAGCTATGGAGAAGGGACTTGTGTATGCACTCAGTGCATAAGGGTATTAATGAACAGGAATTTTAGAATCTTAAAGCTTTTTTTTCATTGCTATCTTTTGCTTTTACATTATCCCTATCCCTAAATATGTCTTCTTCCCCTCTCCAGTAAGACATCTCTCACAACAAACAAACAAATAAAGAAAAAATCAGTTCAGTAAAACTGATCAATACAACAGTGAACTGTGGCAATATATGCAGTGTTCTATATCCATAGTTCCCCACCTCAATAAAGAAGAGAAGGCACATTATTTCATCTTTTCTTTCAGAATAATTCTGTTGCACGGAATTCAATTTCTTACTTTTTTTTGTCGGGGGGGTGGGGTGGATTTTGGATTCTTAAGTTAATGGACAAGGGAAAGTGGCTTACATAAAAGTTTGAAACATATTGTCCCTTTCTCTTTCATGGGATGAATGTTCCAAGGAGAAGAATATGGACAATTCAGTGAGGTGCTGGAATACTCATTAGAACAAAAGGCAATTCCTTACAATTGTGTGCTATCTTTTTAACCTATAAAATAAACATATGCTAAATGACTTTGAGAATGCCATTCCCCCCCCCCCCCCCCCCCGAACACAAGGCAGCTTCAGTCTATAGCTTAGGGCCAACTGAGTGACTGGCAAATGTTGACAGTGATGATGGTAAGAGCAGTAAGTGTGGTTCAAGGAAAAGTTGGGTGTGGTAAGGGGCTTAGGGCTGAAGGGAGAGGCACAAAGTGTGCAGAAAGAACAAGTGCCTTGTGCTTGCGAGAGATGAAACTTAAACCATTTCCAGCTGTGTGACCTTTCGGGGATCCACTACCTGAATCTCAGAGAGAAATTAGCTCAGGACATTAGCTTTCCTAATGCAAATGTGACCTGTAAAATGACTTCAGTCTTACAGGTGCTAGGGAGACAATGGAGAGAGCAATCGGCCTCGAGTCAGAGAACCAGAGTTCAGATCCTGCTTCGGATACTTACTACTTGTGTGACCTGGGGCAAGTCACTTAACCTCCTTGAGCCTCAGTTTCCTCATCTGTAAAATGAGGGGTTTGGATTTAATGGCCTCTCATATTCCTTCTGGTTCTAGCTCTACAGAGCTGGCGATACATGTTGATTAATGTGGAGTTGGAATTGGCTTTCCTTAGCTGCTTCTGGGAATACTCATAAGTCTGAATTGAATACTGTATCCTGATGGGTAAATTAGGTGACTGCTAGCCCAATTTCCTTCACATTTTTCAAATAAAATGTGCCTTCTGGCTAAGCTGAGTCATGAATAATGTAAGCCTCTTCTTTCTCAAAGGCTTCCTAAGGGGAATTTTAAGTCACTCAGGGTGGGTATGGTCAATTCCACAGTGCTGTGATTAAAAGAAGGTGGAACCCCTGCAGCAAGCAGAGACACAGCTGAACAGACATGTGACAGTTTTACTTCAAATGTTTATTACAATCCATAAAAAGAAAATAAAAAATAATAAAAAGACATTTTTAGAAAGTCAATTATAGTGTAATGGTTCAGATTTACAAGAAGGATATTTTATTTTTTAAAAAGAGGTTGATGCCGACACTAAAAATCATGACTTTGAATAGCTTGGTATTTTTTAGGGGCTATGCTTTTTTCTTTTTAGTGAACTAATATTAGTTTTTTTTTAAGGGAAGCAAGAATGTAGAAGAACTCTTCCACCATTCCAGCAAAAAAAAAAATGCAGCCTTGATGTCCAAACTTTGTCACCCATTAGTGGAAGGGTTTGAAATACAGGAAAGTCAACAGGCAGCCTGAATTGGTGTCATGAACAAAGTCATGTTGAAATAATAAAATGACCATGCAGAGCAGCATAATTACAGCCTGTCCTTGTTGGCCTTTCAAAAAGTCATCAAGTACAAATGAGCAGCTCTTTGTTCTGCTGTCTTGTAGGCAGTAAGTCGCCTTCCTTACCATAGCTTCTGTCAGTCTCATTCTCTCTTACAACCATTGATCATCCAAATCCCTCCAATAAATATTCCACTTGCTTTCCTGGATCTCAAGGGTGTCTTAGGATCACAGAATTAGAGCTGGAAGGAACCTTAGAGGCTGTGGAATCCAACTTCCTTCATTTTACAGATAGGGAAACTGAAGCACAGAGCATTTATGTGACTTGCCTGGGTCACATAGCTGGTAAGTATCCGAGGCAAGATTTGAACAGTCTTACTGACTCCAAGTTCATTGCCCTGTTCTCTAAGCCAAGCTGCCTCTCAGTTTCAGCTGGAATTTTCCTTGTTTGTTTCAAAGATGGTTTTTATCACTTTTTTGGCTGTCCTCTGAGCCTGCAGAACTGCCTCTCTCTCGTTACTGGTATTGAGTGGCCTTTCTGGGTCTCATTTTCAAATTGATTCAACAAATGTTAAGTACCTGCTATGCTCAAAGGACTGGATCAGGCATTGGGGACACAAGAACAAAAAATGGAAAATATAGTCCCCTCCTTTAAGGAGCTAATGGGGAGCACAACATATAAAGAACAACAAGAGAAAAAAATAGGAGAGGAGAGAGAAGAGGAGAGGAAAATTAAGGGGATCAAGAGAAACTTCCTGCAGGAGGGGGCCCCTGAGCTGAGCCTTGAAGGAGGACAAGGGTTTTAAGAGACAAGGAAGAAGATTGAACCACATCAAATTCAGACCTCAATGTCACCTAAAAAGAATTAAAAACAGAATTGAAAAGTGAATAAGCATAGGACTGACTGATATCAAGAACTAAAACAAAGCCAGCTAACTTGGGGTACATACAGTGCAGTATGTGAACTCTAATATCTGAACAGTCAGATAATGGACTAAAGATTCCTTCTTACCTATTTATAGAGGGATTATCTCCAAAGCAGATATTTTCTTAAGGGGGGATGGAAATCAATGAAGAAAGCACAAATAGGAAAGTAGGCAGGCAAATTAAAGTTTCTGAAATTGG